TTACTCTATTAATATAGTATTTATTTTTCTATGAAAATTAGAAAAACTGCATCAGTCCCAGATAATTTGCAGTACATCTATTCTTTCTGGAAGAGACAGAATGCTATTCTATTTGGCCACCAAGAATGTAGCCCCACTGATTAATTGGCATAATTTAAATTTAAAATAAAAATATTTATTTAAACAGGTATGTTCAAGATCTGACTGTTTCTTGAAATGTAAACTAAAAAACCCCAAACATATACCCACATTCAGAACAGGTCCAAATGTCACAGGTCTATACATACACAAGGAGTCTCAGAGAAGGAAGTTGTGGAGGCCAACAATGTTTTTAGATCCACACTTCACCATCAGCCACAGAACATATTCAGCACATAATTTTATGACATTTATTTTGCAGTAACAAATTGATATAGACCATAGGTACACATTTCAGGCCTTCATTTTCCAGTTCAAATTCACCTTCCCTTAAAGCTTTTAAACTTTCTTTAAAAGTTTGTAGAAGCTGAGATTAAGGAAGCTGGGTATGTGTAGCTTAGAAAAGTTTTCACTCATTTTATCAGGTCCGTGGTCCTGTATTGCAAATATGTCTGACAGAATTAGACTCGGAGCACCCAAGCAGTTCAAAATAACACTCCTGAGAAATGTGAGCTGCCTCTTTCATATAAATGAGCTGCTAAACTCCAAGAACATGCTCCCAGCACATTCTGCTTGACAGAAGAGATGGGTTAGATATTTCCAAATACAAAGGTCCATATGAATTGCTCTCTATGTGTCAAGGATATTTTCCAGATTCATAAAATTTGAAGTGAAAACAGCAAATATTATGTGTAGAGCAAGTATTTTTGTTTATAAAAGAATACAACTTTTTTATTCCCTATTTTGGAAGCTAACCTTCAGTTATCAACCTACAAGGAACCCTGCTAAAAAGTCTGGGAGTAAGAGCCATATTAGGTAGGATTTTTTTTTTTTTTTAAATTAACCCACAATTGAAGATAAATCCTGATCACAGATTTCTGGTAAGGATGAACAGCTGAAGTTGGGAGGTGTAAGGTACCTTTTCAGGACAGTGTTGTATGATAATGTGATTAAGACCTACTCACCTTAACACATTCATAAAACAGATCCACACTGTGCCAAGCAGCTCATGTCTTACTAAATGATACCTGAAAGAAACAGCATGCACAGAAATTAACTTTCAACACTAGGATGACAGAAGTGATGTTACCACACATACTGTTTAATTAGATATCCTACACTCACCAAAGTATTGTCACTCTCTGAGGTCTGATGCATTAATCAATTCTTAAGGCTAGATTAATTCAAATGGCTATGATATAACACAGTCTCTCAGGCCTGCACTGATACTCCTCCATGAAAGGGAGGGCTCTGTAGACTTTGTAGGAAGCTGCTGCAATTATTTTCATAATTTTTTTTTTTTTGACCATTTTATTAGTGTGTCTCCACTGTTTCTCCCTCTTTTATCACTTTGAGCATAAGACTATTAAATTCAGTCTCAGTGATTCTCATAGCTATCTTAACTATTTCTTCACATCCAGCTTGTAAAGGCTGACTTGTTTTTGACTGACTTGAGGTTTCAACCACTCTTAAACAGTTCCCAGATTTTCCAAGAAATGTTTTGTTTTGTTATGCTGATCCCCAGAGAGATGCAATATATAAATATATGCACATCTTTATCTCCTTTCCTTTCCTCAAATTCCTTCTTAAAATCATAACATATTTAATAAATTTGACCTCCTGCTAACAATGTAAAAATATTCTTAAATTATTTCCCTTGTTCTTGATAGTCTGCCATCATAAAACCTTGTGTTCAAAGCATGCACTGGTTTAGGAGGAAATGTCATATTTTCCTGTTTGTACATTTTGGGCTGTCTTGAAATCACATGAGCATGAGTAAATGTTGAAGAATTAACAAATAAAACCTTTGCTACTAAAGAGTTAGGCTGTAAGAGGGGATGGTGAAAGGGAATGTAAGACAAGGAAATTTTCTTGGAATTATTTCTGTTTCTAAAAAAGTTATAAATACCCTGTCATTTTAGCGGTCAAGTCTTTCAGAAGCACTGACATTAAAAAGTCCCCCAAAAAGATATTAAAATTAAAAAGGCTTTTATAGGAGCTAAAATTCAAACTCAATTGAAATACCCACTCACGGGAATTTAATGTCAATGTCATTTGAGTTAGGTCTTACTTTCTAAATTAGTAGAAAGATAATAAGGTCTAAAATACTTAGAAAGTAATGAAGCATTTAAAGTAATCAAGCAATTGTTCTGTAATGGTGAGGGGTTGCTCCCAAAACCAGATCCTGACAGACTACAAGTACTTGAAAGGAAGAGCAGAAGCAGAGATCTTAATTTAGAAAGCATTGTGAATTACAACAATTATTATTTAAATTATATCTTTAATTTTATTTTAGGTCCATATACATACATATATGTTAATTTAGATTATAGATTTGCAGGTGTAAGTACACATTGTGTAATTAAAAGAGCTTAAAATAATCTAATTTATATATTTTCAACCAGCTGAGGACAGATACAAAACTCATCTAATCTAGACCATTATTCTCTTCCCGCTCTTTCCACCTGGTTCTATATCCTTTCAGACTGCATCCTTGCTTGTATGTATTACAGCCAGATGCAAAGTACTGGTGCATCTTACTTTATTGTAATTGCATATAAGGTTGGTCAGATGTTGAATAGTTGCATCTCTATGCTAAAGTAGGAAAGTAAAGGTTTTATTCTTTATTTTTGTCTGGCTTTTAATTTTTTTTTTTATTTTGCCTGAGATCAAAAAATAAAGACAAACAAATATAGAAACAATATGATAAAGTATTTTATTGAATGATTTTTTGGTACAAGATGAACATTCCTTGTTCTTGCAAGAGGTCACCAAAGTAAACAATGACAGTTCAGAGAGTCCTTTAAACATTAAATTTCTAATTTTTTTTTTTTTGAAAAAGTAAAGACTTATTTGATTTGATAAAGTGTGGAGCTTTTGATTCAGCAACTGATCAAACTCAGAAGCTAGCTAGATAGTGAATTACTGAATCATCTAAGATACTTAGAGTTTTAGCTGTAAGCACCTTACAGTTAAGTATAACAGATTTAATTTTAAATATATATTAAATGTTTTCACATTTACTTCTGTTTTTAGGCATTTGTCACTTACTGATGTGCTTCAGCACCCCTTAAATATTTTTCTAAAGCTAAGCCCAAATGAACCCTCTGCTCTGGAAAACCTCTTCAGGAGTAGAGTTCAGACCTGCAAGCCTACCTGAAAATCAGTACCCTTATTGCAGCAAACTTTTTTCTTGTGCTATTTTAGTGGAGATAGAATTAAGTCTGTTTCATGAGGGATTTCTTGAAGATTTATTTCAAGGATAGCTGGAGTATACTGTTTTCCACTTATTGACATTCTAATATAAAAAGTGGAAAAAAATAAAATTGTTAAATGACAGCAGCATGTTTACTGGAGCTCTGCAAACCTGTGCACAAAATTTCTATTTCTTTTACTTGTAACTGGTGTTGGCAGAAAGAAAAAAAAAATGCAGAAATTATGACTGCATGCACATTTTAAAATTAAGTTTTGTTTCAAGGGGATGAAATGGAAAAATGTTTACTTCTCTAGTAGGGGAGGCAGGGATGCCAAGAAGCTGGCTAGGTGTGCTACCACCAGAAACACAGAGCAGGTGAAAAGCAACCTGGTACAAGGGGTAAGTGATCAGCCTAGATATTTGCTTGCTTAAGAGCCTATTTGGTGGAGGAGAGTAAGATACATTCTTTGGAGTTATCTAACTAAGAAACTTGTGATGTCAGAGAACTCAGTATTTTCTTCTGAGATAAGCTGTCCTGGAACTTAAAAGGACTCCTTTGGAAAACTATCATTACCACATTGCCCAAAGAAAGCAGGTCTTTATACTGCCTAGTTCAAATCATAAAGAACACTTTCAAACATTTTTCTTGAAAAATAATGAGTATGGCTATCTTTATGTCAGTCTACTTTTCGTTGTTAAATGACTGAAGGATTATTACCAATGGGATTGGTTGATAACTTAGGTATTGATTTGTAAAATAGGTCAGGATACTATCTAAAGAAAAGGTCAGTAGCCTCAATATTAAGTGATTGCTGTAATTAATTAAAGAAAAACATATTACTAATCTTATCAAAATCAGAGGAAGGTCCATATAGCTTTTTTTCTGTCTGAGAGTTTAATGTTTTCCAAAAGGTAAAAGGATGAAATATGAAATATGAAAGAAAAATGTCTGAAGCATTCTTTGTGTAGCAATTGTTCATTTGCCTTTATGGAAATTTTGGTGACTTTATTTGCCTGCAAATGTAATAATTATCAAAGTCAAAAAAGCAGACTAGAAGTAGTTGCATATTCCATTTAAGCAAGAACACAGAGGGCTAGAGAGGAGCAATTTACAGAAAAGAACACTGTTTGCCTTTTATATTGCTTGCAAAATGCCAGGAGAGTTTCAAAGTAATAGCACTTATTTAAAAAAAAAAAAAATAGACAATGAGAGAGAAAGAGAAAAATAGGGAAAAAGAAAGTATAGCCTGAGAATGAGGTTCAATTTTAAATGTCTTCACTTTTTCACTCTGATACATAAGCCTTCTGCCTGCTTTAACACTGCAAAAGTTGTATTTTTTTTTTTTTATGAGACACGGTATTTTTTTTGCGCTTTTGAAAGTGTATGGAATTGGGTTTAGATTCCTTTAATTGCTTAGAGTTTTTACATCTATAGAAGACATATTGTGTATATTTGATGTTGTTTTTAATGGAAATTTCTGAAATGCTCAAATAATTTTTCCATGGTTCAGTGTTCTCTTTTTTATTTCTTTGACCAAAATCTCATTTCTCTTTCAAATGCTCAGTGTTATGAATGTAATGTTAAGTTGTTATGGTATACACAGGGTTTCTACAATTGGACAGACTGAAAAAGTAAAAATAAAAAAAAATCCACACAAGCAATCTGTGTTAGAAAAAAATCTTTAATTCCACATTTTTAAAGTTCCAGTATATTCACTGTCGGTCTTTGCAAGCTGTGTGTTTTGGAGAAACTGAAGTTCCAAAAGATTGCAAAATCCATTTCTTCTGTTGACAGCAAATATTGAAGTTTCTTACCTGAAAAAGATAAAACCTTCTGAGATTTACCTTACTTTTTACACAAGAGTAGCTTATGTTTACCGAAACATAAGAGGCTAAATAAAGTAATGCAGTATGTTCTGGAAACAAGAACATACTGCAAGGAAACAGCAGGAGTAATTTGTGCTCCACAATTTGTGCTCCAAGTACCTGATCTCTCCTCAGGATGACAAAGCGTCATTCGAGTAGAGATCAGGTACTTGGCTCAGATTTCCAAAACTCTTCTGAGCATTTCCCATCTCTAATACCTAGACTGGCTGGATATCCAAATCCAGCGAGTTTCATGCCACCTTGTAGCGTACTTCTCACGCCACCATGCAAGGAGAGATGCAGGGCTGCAGCTCCCCAGGTCTTCCTCTGGCACTGTCCACCTCCCAAGCCTACAGCTCGTCCTTATGTTGCCTCTTTTCCATTCCCGGCCCTTTACCCGTGGTGTGCGCGGGATGCCAAGGGCAGGGGCACTGCAGACTCCCGTTTCCCCCGAGCAAGCCCAGCTCTGAGGGGCCCAGCCCGGTTTGCCCTGTGGCAGCCGGCAGCTGCGGCGGGCGGGGCGGGGCGGGGCGGGGAGCCCGGGGCGGCCGCCGCCGCCCGCCCGCTTTGATCTCGCAGCGTTCCGGTCTCCGCGCCAGACGCGGCCTGTGGGGAGGGCCCGCAGCCGCCGCCAGCCGCACCTGGCCCGGCACCGCCCCGCTGCGCACAGGGAAGGGGCCTCGCTGCCGGGAGGAGCCTCCCCGCTGGAAGAGGCTGGATGAGCCCGTTTCATGGGCTGCTGCTTTGAACTCCCATCGCCCGGCTGCCTCCCACATCTGCAGCCCGAGGTGAAGGGAGATGAAAGCGCGCTGGGGATGCAGAGGCTTGTGAGGCACGCTGGGAATGCTCCAGCCTCCGAGCAGGGCTCTGGCTGGGCCGTTCCCTGGGCTGGGAAGTTGCATCCCCGGGATTAGAAAAGCTATCCCTGCGTGTGTGCAAACTACCAGGGGTGCACTTGATGTACGCTGCGGTGTTTGTACATAAACTGGGGGGTGTTAGTGGCTGCTTGCATTTATACTTACAAACAATGGCTCTGATACTATCCAGAGATCAAGCCTGGATGAATCTCAATACTTTTCAGAAAAACTGATGATGACCAAACACTGTAAGAGGTATTTAACATTTACAAACCTTGCTTGATAACTTATCCACTCTATGTTCCATTTGACTTTCACAAGTTTTACACCAAATCTTTAACACATTGAAAAGAAGAAAAAAGGAGAAGAATTTCCAACAAATACCGCTTTCCGATTCTGCTAGTCTTTGTAGTAAATCTATTAAAAGAAAGGGCAAGTCAATATGGAATGCATCTGGCCGGTTACACTGAAGCTGAGCTCAGGCAACCCTGTTAGCATGAGCATTAGCCTCATGGTGTTCTGCAAATCTAAGGCACTTGCTGGGCTAGTTTTTCTAAATAAGGATGCTTTTCTGAATGGAAAATTTCAGGTGCATATTTTACATTAGTAGCAAAGCATAAAGTGTATTTTTTCTGACCTGTAGATTTTATTGCTTTTATGTATTGTGACATCATAACATTCCCTGAATGTTAATGTTAGAGGAGGCAGAGAAAACTGCCTTTGCAAATATATAATCGTGTAAATCTTAGTCTCCCTGGTCTTTTCAGAATAACAAACAATGATACATAATTAATTGTAATTTTGCTGGAGGTGACATTATCACCATACACATAAATACCCACAAGGCAAGGACTGTCTCAAGGGAGATAACTTTCTTTCAATGGTGTGATAAAATGTTCTCATCACAGACAGTATTTATTACCTGTGCCTCTTGAGAGATGATTAAAACAGGAGAAGAACAAATAAGCAGACACAAAGCATCCCACTATGCTCATTTCATAGGCTTGCTTCTACTTGTTTAAAACTCTGAGAATTAATATGGGATCTAAGAATGATCTTTTTTCCCCTGCTTTCTCACTGGGTTTTTATTATTATTTTCGAGAAAAATGGCTAGAGAAATATCTGAAACCTTAATATGTTTTAAAAACTCCTACATGAGCTACAATCCCTGCTGCAATAAACTGCACACAATCTCATCACTTAGTTTCCTCTAGCTAGAATTCATTCTCCTTTGTGAGCACAAACAGAAAGGCATTTCATTACATTCCCTTTTCTTACAAGGTAAATCAGAAGAAATGAAAATAAATTAATTACATTAAAATTACGCTTTATTTACTCTGCGTAAATAAAGAATGAGCTATGGTAAAGGTATGTTTTGGGGTTTTTTAGCTGAACAAAATGCTCTATTTGATTGCTAGTCTTTCAGAAAGGCAGGTGACATTTCCTGCAACACTAGCTGCAGCTCGCAATCCCCTTTTGGAGAAGCTAAGGAGACCTAGTTTGAAAAAATTTCAAAGTAACTCTCAGCTAGGATGAAGCATTGTGGATAGGTTCAGTTCTGCCAAGTTGGTGAAAAAGCCTCTTTGCCAATTATTCCTTGTTTTTTTGAAGTTGCTCTCTCAGTGTATATTTGATTCATACCACCTAAAAATGAATCTGCAAAGCAGAAAATTTATCTGTGCCATCATAGCATCAGTATTTCCCTCTTTTTGTTCAGAGATAACTTCAGATCCTAAAATGAGTTTAATTTTCTTACTTCTTTTTTTAAAAGGCCTTGCTTTTTGCTTTTTTTTTATATAGACATCTTTTTTTGCATTAATGATATCGTAATTGTTCTTATAATATCTATTTTTATGGCATTGTTTAAATCTTCCATGAGTAGCATCAGCTACTTGCTTCAGAAAACATGATGCAAAGTTGAATACCAAGGTGAATATGCCACTATGAATGTCTGACAGTACATTCAAGATTCATTAAGGTTCACATGCAGCATGAATTAAATGCACCTCTAAATCAAATAAATTAGAACCTGTACTACTCCTTAGACTATTACAATAGTTTAGAAACTAATATTTAGTCACATGATGCCAAAAATTTGAATTTTTACCTTTAATTTACTGAAGTTTAAACTTCCTATTTTGCTGTACCATGCAGTGTCTTTTACACAAAATTCTGGTTCTTCTCATGATTTGAAATGAGTGAAAAAGAAGCAGTGTCTTCATATAAACCAGTTTAATCGAATTTATTTTTATCAGCAATTTCCTTTGTTTCTGCAGTCTTCAAAACACATGACAAAAAAAGCATAACTACACCTTGCTGTTTTTCCATGCCATGACTATGCTGCAGTACACATATGGCATGATTAGAAACATAATGACTGATAATACTATTGAATTTAAGAAATACATTGAATATTTTTAAAGTTTAAACCTTTGAGAAACTCACCAACAATCAAAGTAATGGTGGTGCAATTAATGCTGCTATACAAAAATAATTTAATTTCCTGTAGTTTGTGAAATATTAATAGTTCTGTAAATATTCAATGCTAGCTTAACTCCAAAATGAGCTAACATCTGCTCAGTTTTAGGTGAATAAAGTACTAGAGATTATTTATGTTGTTTTTCTTCATTGTTAAGTTTTCCTTTTTTCGATCCCTAAATAATGGGAATCTTTCATAGTAAAGTCTTACTTTTCCTTTAACTTCAGCAAAACTTTCACTACTCACTCCTGTAATTATTTGATAGGAAAGTTTGTGCAACTGATTCTAATTTTTTCATTGGTATTTGATTTTATACTATGATAGACATTAACTTCACACCAGTGCAATTTTGTAATGAAATCACTCATCCAGGACTTGACATGTGAATTAATCTACCAGATATTGCTAAAAAATAAGAAGATATTTTATTTGTTTTACTTGTTTTTAGAAGAAATTCAGAATCACAGAATCACAGAATCACAGAATGGGTGAGTTTGGAAGGGTCCACATTGAACCATCTGGTCCAGCCTCCCTGCTCAAGCAGGGTCATTCTAGAGCACAGGGCACAGGATTGTGTCCAGAGGGTTCTTGAATATCTCCAGTGGGGCTGCAGTGGGAAAGGCTCCACAGCATCTCTGGGAATTGTTCCAGTGCTTTGATAGCCACACGGTAAAGAAGTACTTCCTCGTGTTCAGGTGGTACTTCCTGTGCATCAGTTTCTGCCCATTGCCTCTTGTATTGTTGCTTGGCTCCACCCTCTTGATACCTACCTTTCAGATAGTTATTCATGAGGTTAGCTCTCAGTCATCTCTTCTCAAGGCTGAACAGGTGCTGCTGCCTCAGCCCTCTGTCATAAGGACAATTATCTTTATTGCTCCCTCCCTCCCCCACCTGCCTCTCCTTCCCACTCCAGGATCCCCGTGACTTTCTTGTACTGAGGAGCTCAGAACAGTACACAGCATTCCAGATGAGGCCTCACCAGGGCTGCGCAGAGGGGCAGGATCACCTCCCTTGACCTGCTGGCTGTGCCCTTCCTAAAGCCCCCCAGAATCCCATTGGTCTTTTTGGCCACCAGGACACGTTGCTGGCTCATGGACAGCTTGTTGTCCACCAGGACCCCCAGGTCCTTCTCTGCAGAGTTGATTTCCATCAGGTCAATCCTCAGCCTGTGCAGCTGTAGGAGGCTATTCCTCCCCAGCTGCATGACCCTGCTTTTGCCTTTGTTGAATTTCAGATGGCTCTTCTCTGCCCAGCTCCAGTCTGTTGAAGTCCTTCTGAAGTGCTGCGCCTCTAGGGGGTCAGCTGCTCCTCCCAGCTTTGTGTCATCAGTGAATGTGCTGAGGAGGCATCTACCCCTTCATTCAAGTCATAGATGAACAATGGGCCCAGTATTGAGCCTTGGGGGACACCTTTAATGACAGGCCTCCAACCAGACCCTGTGCTGATGCTTTTAACCCTTTGGGATCTGCCATTCAACCAGTTCCTATTCCAGTTAACTGCTCACTCATCCAATCCATACATCCTGACTCTGATGTGAGAGACAGTGTTGAAAGCCTTGCTGAAGTCAAGGTAGACAATATCCACGCATTCATCCAGGTATTTGTTTCGCCATAGAAGGCCAACATATGGCTCATGCATGATTTACCTTTAGTGTATCCATGCCGACTAGTCCTGATCACATTCTTGTCATCTATGTGGATAAAGATGGCCTACAGAATGAAACGTTCTATCATCTTTTCAGGGAAGGACATGAGAACAACTGAGTTCCCTGATCCTCCTTCTTGTCTTCAGGAGGACATTTTCTTTCTTCCAGTCCTCAGGCACTGCCCTATCTTCATGACCTTCCCAAGAGGACTGTGAACCACCTCATTATAATGTCCACCAGCTCTCAGTGCTCTTGGATGAATTATGTCAGGACAATTGGATTTGTGGATGTCAAGTCTCTCTAGGTGTTCTCTAACCCAATCCTCCTTGACCAAGGGAAAGTCTTCCTTCTAACATTCTTTTACCCTGGTGTTTTGGGTCCAAGATTCATAAGGACTGATTATTGCAGGGAAGATATTCTTTGAACAAATCCTGAAGGAACCTTTTCAGACAAGGCTTCTTTTCTGTCTTCCCTTCTTTCCCTTTTCAATCCTCTGTCTCATATGCACATTCCTAACTACTACTTTGCTCTAAAGTGAACTCTAGACACTGTCATTTTTGAGTTACAGGATATCAACACAACACATTAAAAATTTTGCTCCTTCTTATACTATTACAGAATTCCTGCACAAACAGAAGGTTTTGAAGTTTCCTATCTTCCCTTCTGTAAAAATTGTTCTTAATTTAATTTTCAAGTATTTTTAAGGTTTTGGGGTGGGGTTTTTAACCTGGTAAACTGGCCTTGACTTAACTTTATGAAGAAGCCTCAGTATTGTTTTAGTACCTTGCAATTTCTCTTTGAAGTATTTTTCTGTGTAATTAGGCTAAAAATACAATACTTGATTGTAAGAATTTTCATGCCAAGTTCCAGTCTGGAGTGAATTTTACAGCTTGGTTATAAATCTCGGCGAGCAGAAGTTTATAATGGAAATGCTTCTAAGTCTGCACACTGAACTGCTGCTGGAATGATTTTCTACACAGTATAAAGGCCACTTGAAAGTTTTCTATTTTCCCCCATAAAGACAAATAGATCTATTTCCGAAGGTGGAACTTTTGAATAAAACCAAAATTGTTCTTACACTCTACTATCATGAAACTAAATTCAGTTTATTCAGCTGTTAATTTTCTCCTAAAAATGGTGTTGCCTCTCTGTGCGTTAGGTTTTGCCTATTGAAAGTGACAACAGGCAAAGCAAAGGCTTTACATAATGGGACAGACAATATGAATAATCAAGAGTATCTGTGCATTTCCTTCACAAAATGTTCCATCTACAACTGGTCTGATAAAACCATCCTAAAACCCAGACTTTCTTTTCTCTTTAATTTGATTGAGCACAGAGGCAAACATCTCCATATCAGAATTCATTAGGTATTTTGCCCTTTTGCTTAGGGAAAGAATCATGCATAAAAAGTTGGGGAATCTATGCTAGCAAAAGACACCTCACTAATGACAAATTTAATTAATTTCAAGAACATTCATCAAATTTCTGTTGGTTAAGGTTTTAAAATTTTCTTCAGTATGTAAAATATTTGTTAAGGGCATAGATATATATATTTCTATATATTTCTGCTAATCTAAGAATATGTTTAATGCCTGAACTTCATAGCTGGTTCCTCACTACAG